TTCCTCATACACACCCGCTAACTACCCCTATTCCTCATACACACCTGCTAACTACCCCTGTTCCTCATACACACCCGTTAACTACCCCTGTTCCTCATACACACCCGTTAACTACCCCTGTTCCTCACACACACCTGTTAACTACCCCTGTTCCTCATACACACCCGTTAACTACCCCTATTCCTCATCCACACCCGCTAACTGCCCCTGTTCCTCATACACACCCGCTAACTACCCCTATTCCTCATACACACCTGTTAACTACCCCTATTCCTCATACACACCCATTAACTACCCCTATTCCTCATACACACCTGCTAACTACCCCTATTCCTCATACACACCCGTTAACTACCCCTACTCCTCATACACACCTGTTAACTACCCCTGTTCCTCATACACACCCGTTAACTACCCCTGTTCTTCATACACACCTGTTAACTACCCCATTCCTCATACACACCTAACTACCCCTCAAAACACCTATAATGTGGCAATACTGGGGCAAGTTTTTTTGGGGTGTGAGGTGGGGACCTTATGGTGGTGCTGACTTTCTAATTCAGGGTATGGTTTACTGTCCTGTTGTGTTTGGCCCTAGCATAAACGTATGACTCTCCACCCCAGCCCTCCCCCGACTTCTTCCCCAGATTTTAAATAGGTGTAATTAAGCCTCCTTCATTCCTGTTCATAGACTCTCTTAGGAGTTTTAAATTCATAAGATGCCTTGCAAAAGAAATCAGATGTCATGGAGCAGAGTCAGTAACTTTAAAAAAAAAATTATTCTGAGACAAGATCACACTATTCATCCCTGGCTGGCCTTGGACTCCCCGAGATCCGCCTGCCTCTGCTTTCAGGTGCTGGGATTAAAGGCATGAGGCCAGCAAGAGAGGCAGACAGAGGCTTCTGAAGGTTGTTAATTTTGTTATTAAATTTTCTCCATGTGCCTTGTTCACATTCCTTAGAAGTATGTACAAAAGCCCTTGGCTATATTTGACGTTTTCCACTGATTTCATGAGTTGCTCACCACTGATGAGGTTTCATACCACTGGGCTTCATTAGCTGCCTGCTAGAGGGAGTAATGCTTAGAACTTGCTATCTGACTTTTTAATTCTGTCCAGGACTTGACTCAGCAGATTAACCTGAGCCCTAAACAGCACCACACTGCTTTGGAATGCCTGCTGCAGAGAATTTCACAAAACGATACAGCCAACAATGAGCTGACCCGCTGGGGGCTCAGTCTGCAGAAAGATGTCCACAAGGTGAGCCAGAGGTGCATGAGTGGCAGCCGCCGCACCCACCGGGGCCTGGAGTTGTGAGGCAAGAGGTTATCCTCCCTTGTCCCCAGCTGGGGGGTTTGCATTGCTCTTCATTTCGGTTTGTTTTGGTTTTTGTTTATTTGCATTTTGTTTATTTTATGTGTGTGTGGTGTCTGCATTTATGAATGTACATCACATTCCTGCCTGGTGCTTGCAGAGGCCAGAAGATAGCTGGAATTAGAGATGGTTGTAAGTTCTCACCGTGTGCGTGCTGGGAACTGAACCCAGATCCTCTGGCAGGGCAGCCGCTGAGCCATCTCTCCAGCCCCTTGGCTTTATCCTTACACCTTGTTTCCCGTGTCAGTCATAGTATCCGGATTTCCCTTGACTTAACCTGCCAGCTTCATTTGCAGACTTTTTCTCTGTATTTCCCAAAGATCAGAGCTACTAATTTCTGATCAATAGGAAGCAAGCAAGCAAATCATTAATTTACAACTGTCCTTATTTTAATTTTCCAGCACAGATTTATTTTGGGACAGGATCTCATCGTGTAGTCCTGGTTGACCTGGAACTTGCTGTACAGACCACGCTGGCCCCTAACTCACTGAGATCCACCTGCTTATATCTCTGGAGTGCTGGGATTAAAAGCATGTACCACCAAGCTCCAGCTGCCAGATTATTTTTAACATTGTTTTTACATTAATTATTTATTCTTTTTTTTTTTTTCCAGACAGTGTTACTCTTTGTAGTCCTCATTGTTCTGGAACTCACTTGGTAGCCCAGGCTGGCCTTGAACTCACAGAGATCTGCCTGCCTCTGCCTCCTAAGTGCTGGAATTAAAGGCTTGAACCACCACTGCCCAGCTTACATTATTTTAATTAACATTTTTGTTTCATGTCTGTCAGTCTATCTATCGTGTGTGTGTGTGTGTGTGTGTGTGTGTGTGTGTGTGTGTGTGTGTGTGACAGACAGCCACAGTGCCTGTGTGGAGGTCAGAGGACATCATGAAGGATCAGCTCTTTCTACCTTGTGTGGTTGGGATCAAGCTCGGTCAGACTGGTGCCTTTTCCTGCTGAGCCCTGCCGGCCCTAGTTTAATGTTTTAGGCAGTTTTCTGTGGTGCTGGAGATTGAACTCTAAACTAAATGATTCTTAGAGTTCTGTGCCTTTCTTTTTCTCTGTTTTTTAAAAAATTTTGGCTAGGTGGTAGTGATACACAACTTTAATCCTAGCACTAGGGAGGCAGAGGCAGGTAGGTCTCTGTGAGTTTGAGGCCAGCCTGGTCTACAAAGCAAGTTCCAAGACAGCCAGGCTACACAGAGAAAACCCTATCTTGAAAAAACAAAAAAAAGGGTTTTTTTTTGTTACATTTTATTTATTGTGTGTGTGTACACAGGAGTGTGCCACGGCATGCATGTGGAGGTCAGAAGACAGCTTACAGGAGTGGATTCTTTCCTTCTACCACGTGGGGCCTGGGGATCAAACTTAGGTTGCCGTACCATTAAGCATGAGGACCTGAGTTCAATTCCTCAGTCCCTAGCACCACATAAAGAGATGTGCCTGGTGCTGTGTATCTGCACCACTTCACACCAGGTGGGCACTGTGTACAGTAAGGCAAATTCCCAGTGCTCACTGACCAGCCAGTCTAGACAGTCTGGGCTCTGGGAGACAAGCTGTGTCAAAATAAGGCAGAGAGCAATAGAGAAAAACACCTGCTGTGAACCCTGGCCTACACACACACACACACACACACACACACACACACACACACACACACACACAATTGCACACATATTACAATATACAGACAAAAACTTTTTATCAGGAAATGATGGCAGGGATGTGAGCAGGTAACGGCACTTCCTCCCAAACCTGCCGACCTAGTTTTGGGCAGTCTTGAGGCACCGTGCAGAGGTCATGTGGTAGAAACCTCGGGCTCTGGTGACAGCCATTCTGGCATTGACTCTCGGCTCTACCAAGTTGCAAGTTGGAGGCCAGCAAGAGTACCTATAAAGGAGAAAGGAAAGGGGTGGGCTGTAGGGGGTCCCGTGTCAGCTGAGTGGGCTTCAGAGGCAGTAGTGCCAGTGTTTTTTGAAGAGGCTGTAGCTGGCTCCATGTCAGAGGCACTCTGTTTTCTGTGTAGATTGAAGGTCGTCTTCTACCAATGGAGAGGATTAACTTAAGGAATACTTCATTTGTCACGTCTGAGGACCTGAACTGGGTTAAGGAAGTGACCAGAGATGCTTCCATCCTGACTGTGAGTGATTCCTGAAGTGCTGGAGAATCAATATTCCCCAAGAGTGTGGAAATGGGTGATTCAGTGTCTTCTTTGAGAGAATGTACCATCTGAATTCCACTGAGTGACTTCTGAGCAAGGCCTTCCAGCTGCACAGTACTGGAGGGAAGCCCTGTCTGACCACAGGCTGAAGAGAAGGAAATACGTTGCCATGGTGATTCGTCTGGTGTCAGCCCATCACCTGCTCTTCTTTTTTTCTCCCTTCCTCTTTGACCCTGGGAATCCCCAGGCTTATTTTTATCCATGAAAGAAGTCAAATTAAAACAGGGCCCCCCTAAGAGACAACTAGATGTTAATTATTTGCCTCAAAGTATAAAATAGTAGACAGTTATTTCTGGATGTTTTCGACCAACTTGGTCTTTGTGGTCATATATGGAAAATATCAACTTTTAAAGCTTTTAGTGAAATACACATAGTTGCTGGGTGGTGGTAGTTCACACCCTTATAAGGTCCCAGCACTTGGAAGGCAGAGGCAGGAGGATCTCTTGAGTTCGAGGCCAGCCTGGTCCATAGAGTGAGTTCCAGGACAGCCGGGGCTACACAGAAAAACCCTGTCTCAAAAAACAAAAAAAAAAAAAAAAAAAAAAAGAAAGAAAGAAAAAGAAGAAAGAAATACAGTATAGTTAAAGAAAAAGCACACTTAGAAGTGTATGACTTGATTTTTAAAAGCTAAATAGACTTTCTATAACCAACACCAAAGGCTAAGAAACAGAAATTGATAGGTACACTCAACCCCCTCACTATATTTCCTGGTTATTACCACCCCCATTCACTGGGAATAACAACTGTCTTGAACTGGCAAGAGTATATATTCTTTTGCCTGTGTGTGTATATATATATTTTTTTTTTCAGAGAGTGAACAGTCTTTTATGCCTGACTGCTTTCTTTAACCTTGTGTTTATGAGTTTCATTCATATTGTTGAGTATGTTAGTAGATCTTCATTTTCATTGTTGTATAGTATTCCATTATAAGACTGTCCAAGTTTATAAGTCTGTGAGCATGATAGGAATTATATAAGGCAGAGGGACTTAAACAGAGGGAGTACACAGTCTCAATACACCATGTGCTTGTTCCTAGATTCCCATGCATTTCTGGGCACTTTTTTACCCAAAGAGAGCAATGGACCAGGCCAGAGAACTGGTTAACATGTTGGAGAAGATAGCTGGACCCATTGGCATCCGCATAAGCCCCCCAGCCTGGGTTGAACTGAAGGATGACCGAATAGAGACCTACATCAGGACCATTCAGTCCCTCCTGGGAGTTGAGGTAATAAAGGAACTTCATTGGAGTAAACTTACAAGATCTCTGAAAGTACTTGGATGCTTAATCTTAAATTATCTGGATTGTCAGTCTGTTAGTGATGCCCGGAGCCCATGTCCTCCTCATTTTCACATGAAATTCTATTCTTCATGTCCTTTGGTTATTTTCATTTCTCATTCTGTGTTGGCTTTCATGTGCTCCTGTGTGCTCTCTCTCTCTAGCCATTTCCTTATGAAATTGGCTGAAAGAACAGCTGGCTTAGTTCATTATCTGTAGAACATGCTGTGCTCAGGAACCAACTACTTGGACCAAGTATTGTCTTCTGGATTAAGTTCTGAGTTGTAACAGAATGGTCTGGGCCAGGATGCAAATTGCCCTAGAGGTGAACTTGACCGTAGACACATTAACTGATCCTGATAACTGATCAGAACACTGGGTCTGAGCACTCCCGTCCCAGTTTCCAGACTTTGCCTTCTTATCTCTTTGTAAATAAAAATATTTTTCAATTTTATGTGTATGAGTGTCTTGCATGCATGTATGTCTGTTCACAGTCTGTTCACAGCAACCTGAGGTGCTAAAAAAAAGGGGTACCAGGTCCCCTAGAACAGACTATTATGAGCTGTCACATGGGTCCTGGGAATTGAACCCAGGTCCTCTGCAAGAGCAGCAAGTGCTCTTAACCACTAAGCCATCTCTCTAGCCCTTTGTAAGCAGAGGAGGAAGACAAAGGAGAGGATGGAGGGAGAAGAAAAGTTGTTGGCAATAATTATCTCATGAGCCTAAGAGTCTGGTGAGTTGATTGTTCTGGGAAGATCAGTCCTAGAGTTGGAGTCTCTTAGCTTTGTGGTATTCTGTTTGATACCCAGTCTTGGAAGGTCCTCTGTTTTGACATTGGCTAAGAGTCCTGGAGATAGAGGCTCCTGCCAGGTGTGGTGCTGGCAGTGTCTGTTCTCCCTAGACGGAAGGTGAGGACGAGCTACTGTGGACTTGGCTTCGTCCCTTCTGCACTTGACTCTGCACACTTCTGTGGGGTGCTACGTGCCGTGCTTCCTCAGCTGAAGTCTGGTCTGACACCTTCAGGAAAGCCATTGAGAGACGTTAGAGGAGTAGTCCTAGAACCCTAGTCTACTTCCAAGCCTGGTCCTTATCTAGAATCTGAAGCCGCCTAATAAATAGCCATTGTGGTCATTGCCAGCTCTAGATGTTAGGAGTATATTACCTGTCCATGAACAGCAGCTCTGAGCCAAATGCTAGTTCCAATTCAAAGGGCGTTTCCGGTTGGAATGCCCACCATCTGTTTTTCAGTTCTGTCTACCATATCTGTGTCCCATGAACGTCCCCAGAGTGATGAGAGCCTGACAGTGTGTGCTGCTCTCCTCTAGGGGAAGATACAAATGGTCGTTTGCATCATCATGGGCACACGTGATGATCTCTATGGGGCCATCAAGAAGCTGTGCTGTGTGCAGTCTCCAGTGCCCTCCCAGGTGAGTGGAGGTGGAGGAGGTGGCGGTGGAGGAGGTGGCGGTGGAGGAGGTGGCGGTGGAGGAGGTGGCGGTGGAGGAGGTGGCGGTGGAGGAGGTGGCGGGGGAGTCCCAGCTCAGGGCCCCTAAAGCTCTGGAAGCTGAAATAGCATTAGAGACCAGTATGGGGAGAGCCTTATGCTGCGAGGTTCTGATCAGGAGGAGCCAGCAGCAACAGGTGGCTCTTGTGAGAGCTCTTTCTGCTCCTCACAATCCCTGGGTGCTTCCCCATGACCACGCCTGGGTGTGTGGGCTTCACTCTGAGAAGGGAAGAGATTTTTCTAAAAGGAACTATAAAAATAACACTCTGAATAAGATGAAAAATTTTGAATGTTCATGTGTGTGTTATGCACATATATGCCTCGTGACCCTAGAAATAGAATTATTAACAGACATATGATAATTCAAGTTTCCTAAATATAATATACTCAGCCCTCAGTATTTGTGGTCTTTTGAGACAGCCTCATGCCAGACTAGCCTCATACTCCCTGTGTGCACAAAGATGACTTTGAATTCCTATCCCTCCTGTCTCTGCCTCCCCCAACCCCAACACAGACATAAAGTGCTGGAATTACAAGTGTGCCTGGCCTGTCTGTGGATTTGCATGAGCTGATTCATCAAACACAGTTTAAAACATTCTAAAAGAAATTAGACCTCTACTGAGCTCATCAGACTCACAAGGGAAACCCTTGTGCTTATTCCCTAAAAAATACAGGATAACAGCTATTTACATAGTGATTACATTCAGTCCTAAAAATAATGGTGATCTGGGTGTAGAGGAGGGTATGGGGCATCTATACCCAAACACTGCACCAGAATGGGGC